GGCAGTTTAATCCCTGATCCACTGCAAACTAAGGCTGACATTTGACAACCGATCAGCACACCTGTACCTACGAACCATGTGCTGCTACTTGCATCTTTTTCAACACTTTTAGCTGTGTGACAGAATGAAGAGTATTGCAAAGAGTGAAGGAGCCAAGTCCATAAAAATGTGAAGTTTGCCAGTTTTGTTGCTCCCAGAAACCTTTTTTCTTTTCCATGATCTGAATTGAAACTTAATAATCTGGAGCTAAACGTTGTTGGAGACAAGACTTTTTCTCTGGTAGGAAACTGGTGATCTGTAATGAATGTCACATCTGGAGTTTTTCCATATAAATGGTTCCTGCTTGTTCCCATTTTTTGACTCATTTCTAGAGTATGGGTTTCCCGCCCCCGACCACTTTTTAAACTAGAAATTTGTCTTTCTATTTGTCAATGTACTTACCAGTAACATGTAAAAAGAGTGAGTGTTAGCATGGATTACTCAAACTGTTAGTAGTCTACTTCTGTTTGTGAGAACGCGTTTCCTTTTGCTTACCGATAGTTAGACCAAATGGAACTTCTAAGAAATAGAAGTATTTCTGTGACTGAAACAAACGTATTTTTCATTCTGCCTTCTGCATCAACTAAAGACTGAAAATTGGTTGCATTCTGGTGGAAGGATAATTTATGTTCAAGCAGTTGCTATCTGAAGGCATAAATGCTCTTTTCGCATAATAGTATTCTTTTAGTTGACTGGGTAATGTTTCTAATGCCTGAAGTATTAATGATTCTATGAAGAGATTATTTTTGCTGGAGGTTTTCTGTTTACTGTCTGTATAGTTGCTGGGCCTGGAGATTGTAGTTGCATTTTACTAGATGCACATAAATTCAGCAACAAGCACTGTCATGCTCGGAGAATTTGCATTCTTACCCCTGAGCTTGGCTCCATTGCTACTAGAGGAAAGATTCAAGAAATAGTCTACAGTTAATTTATACTTTTTCTGGGCTCTGCTGTGAATGATGGTGTTAATGATAATTACTTCTGTGAACTTCATAAGAAAATACTGAAGGATTATCAGAAGTAATTCTGTTCAGGCAGATACCCTTAATTATGCTAGTGACCTTATTTAATATATTGGTCAGTAAATGTGGTAAGATAATATAAAAGCTTTAATTTTGGTCTGAATATTTTCATTAGGTATCAAGAGGAAAAGCATAGCTTTTTTCTCAGGGCTGACATGTCCCAAACCATCCGAATAAAACACTCTGTTGTTCCTTGGCTGTGAGAGCAGTGGGCATGTATGGTCTGGGCTGGTCACTTTCATAAGCTTTTGTTTAATATTTATATAGCACCTCTGCCTAAGTGGGCTTCCCTTTCGTGTCTGCTTTAGGTAATTGAAATTGATTATTAATTTCCAGGTACAGAGAAAGAGGAAAAAAACTAGCAGTCACTTTGTCACCGGGGAAGGCATTTTCTTTTAAGTGCAATATATTTAAATTTCTCACTGGCATGATACCGATCTTTATTATGTTTCAAAGGCAAGTGCAGAAAACAAGTAGGACAGCAATATAAAGCTGTGTTGTGAAAGGTATCTTTTTTTAACTGGCAGGATACCTGCCTTTGAATGCTGGATGTTCTGTTTTTCTGCTTTTTAGAAAACAATTTCGGAAAATGACATAATAACATTAGGGCAAAATTTTTGGTGCTGGTTTGACTGAAGCACTAGAGATCACTAATGCAAAGCTGTATTTATTTTATTTTTTTTTTAATTTTAAATGTGTCTTAATTAACCTTTGTAATTAACTTAAATGTGGTTGAGGTTTCAGCCTATTAGTAGTTGCAGTGTAGTTCAGAATAAAGTATTATAGTTCTTAAGAATAAAATAACCTTGTGGTTTTGTTACAGTCCAGTGCAGTTCCATGTTATTGGCCAGCTATGTTGTCAATAATGTAAATGGAGAATAGCTTTAGTCATCTGTTCTAACACAGGCCGATGTGAGCAATTATGTTTATAAGACAGACACCAGAACTGTCCTATTCCTTAGTTTCTGTCTGTAATTTCTTCCAAAATCTGGATGGATTACAGCCAGTTTCCCACCAGCCACTACATGGTTTCTTCACAGGATATTTTTGCACCTTATTTACAGTGAGATTTGAGGCTTGTGCAGTATTGACTCCTTTCCCAAGCCCTGCAGAACATCCCTGCAAAAGGTCCACTGCCTTACTCTGCACTGTGCATTTCACAGACATTTCTCTTCAAAGGGAAAACTCTGAGGCCAATAATTAGTTGCAAAATTTCGCTAATCTCTTTGTATTGGGCAGTACAGTTCCAATAAATCTGTGTGAGAGGTTGAGACTTAGGATGGTGGTTTCTCGATATTTACAAAATCTGCTGGCGTGGGAGATTACAGGCAGACGAGAGTGAGAAGATTTGAGAGACTCCCAGCACGCAAGTGGGACAGTCTGGTGGGGGACAGTGATTCCTTCCTTTGACTATCGGTGGCACTCTCATTGCAGGAATGGCTCTGCATGTAGCAGAGCAATTGCTGAACGGGCTCCCATTGCAACCCAGATCATTACAGTACATTGGCATGAATTTCAGGTTACCATAAAACGCTGTTTCAGTGGATGACTGGTGGTTCAGGAACAGCTGGCATGGACTGGAACTTCTCTAGTAGTGGTTGCTCAGGCATCAGAGCTCCTCACCTCATGAATCACTCTAAGAAATATATAGATTTGTCTTGGGTGGGTACATTGTAAGGTTTCTTTTCCTTGCTTTTTTTCACTGTGTAGTAAGTCACAGGTGACATACTAGAGCTGGCGTCATGGTGACAAAAGCTATGCCTAACTCGGTCAAATTATATGTACAATTTAATTGTACAATGTTCAAGAGACTCTCAGTGGGTGTGTAAGGCAGTGGTAGTTAGCAACTGGTTTTTGCATTAAGGTATCACTAAGGCTGTGGTTTGCTGCTTCTGTTCCCACTTTAAAGGAATCTCATTATTTTCCCACAGTAACTTTTTGAAGCATGTGTGGATTTTAATTAAGATTTTGCTTTCCCCAAATACTTACTCTGTTAACCAAACGTCTCATTTGAATCAAACTGGGACAGATTGCATGGTTTATTTCAGTTGACAGCACTTAATCTAGATTAATTTGTACAGTTCAGCATTTCACTGATGGAAAATAAAAGGTGACATTGGAGGCATATCAGAGTTTGCCTACAGTGTGAAAATCAAAGAAGAAATGTTTCCCAAGCACATGCAAGTACTGTATTACTGAAAGGTCACTGTTTGTTCAAGCTTTGAAGTATGACTTCATACATAATGCATGACCTTTGGAGAAAACACAAAAATTTTATGGAAAGAATGGATATTTTAAAACTTGCGTTATTAACTGTATTTCATGTAGGTATAGTTATGCATGTTAGCACAGATGTGCCAGTTAGGTCTTAAGAGCTAGCAATGCTCTTTAGTTTTCTTACATGCAAGCCTTGCCTGTTTATATATCTGTCTCTGTTACTGTTACTTTCTCATGTTATAGCTTGAGACTCTGCAATTAAATTATCTGAAAAGGAACTTGTAAGAGGGGTGTGCTCAGATTTGTCTCTGAATTCAGCTTTACTCATCGGTAGTCTGTTTTGCATTTTGCATTTAAATCTCCTCCTACCCAACTTTCCTCTTTTACCATAGAACTTGCATTTCAGAAAGCTCGTCAATCCTGCAGTGTAAACTTTGTCATTTGTTGTTTCACGTGGTATATAAAAACGCATCTTATTAGGGGCAAAAAAGGTGGAAGAGAGAATCCCATCATCAAGCCATAACCTAAATTGGTGTTCTGTCGAAATTCCTTTGCCTGCCAGTTTGAAATTAAATTTTAAGGAATTGAAGAATTTAAGATTTGGCCAAGAACGGTTTGGCTATCAGAATCAGAATGGTTGAGGTTGGAAAGCACTTCTGGAGGAACCTCTTGTCCAACCCCTGCTTAACTGCAGATCAGGTTGCCCAGGACTGTGTCCAGGTGGCTTAAAGAATATAAATAATATAAGGGTATGAGAATATAAAAAGTAATCCTCATGCTTTCAAGTCTTTTTAAAACTACTTTTGTAATTTTTAAAACAATGCTTATATGTCTTAAGAAGGTATTTCCAAGGTTGAAATTTTGCAGATAATTTAGAACAGGTTTTCATTTAAATAAGTAACACTTTCTAAAGCTATAAATATGCAGGATGATGTATGGTGTTACAGTGTACCTTAGAAGTCTAGATAAACTTCTTATGGGATATACTTTTCTTAAGGCAATTATGCTACATATTTATTGTTAACAATACAGCTTGTCCTGAGTTCGTGGTAGTGTGGATGTATATGTATGAATCTATTAGGATTACATGTTATTACTCATCCACACACACAAATGTGTTAGTGTAATTTATGAGTTCACATGTGTATGTATATATAGAAAATAAAAAATGACATATCTCATCTTTGCTGGTTTGCTAATAACATAATGAACACCTTATCACAGTTAAAAAGTCAGCGGCTCATACTTGATATAAAGAATTTGTGCTTAGGTACATACAGGCAACACACTGCTTTTGAAGGTTGCGTAGGTACTGAAGACACGTGGCTCCATGCTAACTTGTATGCATGTGTATATGTATTTTTCAACTTTTTTTTTCTTTTTTTTTTTCACTCAGTAGTTCTTCATGGTTCTTCCTTCTGGAAGCAAGCATGAGCTGTCAATAAGAATAGCTGTTCTTGGCTCAGTGCGAGAAGCACAACATAGAAAATTCCTCAGTCAAACACATGGTAAATGAAGGAAGAATGTGAAATTAATGTCTGCTTGTGTTACTATTTTGTGAAACTTACTGCTGTTAATACCAGATTTACTCTGCAAGTGTGTTAACATGTTCAATATTTTTGGTGAAACAAACATCCCTGTTATGTTTTTGTTTATTTCTTGCATGAAACATCACTAGTACTGTTGAGATATCTGTTAAATTAAACTTTTGTTTATATTTAGGTTTATAAGTTAGATGGCATCCCCTTGATCCTGGACAACTGCAGCATTGATGACAACAATCCTTGTATCCTTTACAAAAGAATTCTAATTATTGAACATGACTCATAAGAAAAGGTGGGGGGGTTTAATGTATTTATGCCAGCATTGCTTTCACTTGGTACCTAAGTCTAACTGGCCTCATGAGTTTCTAGGTTGTATTTAAGTGCTTGGTTTAGAAGTGAGAAAACTCATAAATATACTTTCATGAACTGGATTCTAAATAAGCTGAACTGTGGTTATATTCTGTTTCCTAAAATAACAAATATTCCTGTTTTACAAATGTTAATTCAGAGAGCTAACTGTGATAGAAATCTGAATTAAGACTATGTTTGGTCATTGTATCAGATCTAGGAGCTTTTGCTTCAACTGCAGTCTATTCAGTAGACTGAAATAAGTACCCCATCAATTCTATATGCTTATTAAATCTGACTGGAGAACTTATTCTAAGCACAGAGACAAGGCTAGCAAGCTGTAATGAAAATGTGTATAATTGAGAGAATTAATGATGCAGATTACTGAAATGCTGGGGAGATTTTAATATAAATGGCATTGTGCTTCATATTTGGGACTTTTTTTCTCCTAGAGTTTAAGAGCAGAGACTTTCCAAGATAGATTGCTATTAGAGGGAAATAACTTCATATTGAAGATAAACAGTTGTTAAGCAGACTTATCCATCTCTTCATGAACTGCATAGTAATCTTGCTGGTGTGTTCAGTGGGTGAGCTATTATTTTCTGTCATCTAGTCACTAGCTCCTTGTAAGTTTCTGATAAGTGCATCTGGAAATCAAATGCCTTTCCTGTCTAGAGTAATGTGAGCTTTCTTATACTGAACACATGAAACGGATTTTTTTAAAATGAATTTGTCAAAAAAAGCTCACTTGTTAAAAAGTATCATAAAAAAAAAAGTTGTGAAAATGTTACATGTTCTCAAAATTGTGTACTGTAGAACATCATCTACATATATCTTAAAAGGATGAAATCATATAGGGACAGATGATAGCAAAATGTTAACAAGCTGGGTGGAGGAGCGATGGGTGTTAAGTACCCTCTGAGTTATTCACTTTGTTGCTTTATATGCAAGGTTTTTACATTCATCACTATCCCTATAGTTGGAGGCCTGACTGTGTGTCTCTTGAGAGTGCACCGAGTAGCAGAGTTGTGCTTCCACAGTCTGATTCTGGTGAGGGGCACTGCTGGATGTGGTGGGAAGGGCAGGGAAAGTTACTTTTCCTAAGCAGAAGAGCAGCCCTGAGAAAACCTGGTAAGGAGTTTTGATCCCAAGTCACTTCTCCTTTGCTGGAAAGCACAGCTGTGCAGCGACTTTTAGAATTTCTTTCTAGGATTAATCCTTCATTTTAGCTGTTAGTAAAAGAGGATAAAGTTTGAGGCCTTCAAAGGCTAGAGTTGTAATTTACGATCTTGAATGAAATGAAAGCAAAATACCATGGGAGCCTTTACTTCATTTTGAGCAATGTGGAACTTCTTACACCTCTTCATACAGGCTGACGTTTTATGGCTGCACTATAAACTCCTCACCAGAGGATAAAACTTTGCTTACTTGGTTTTTAAAGACTAACTAGATGTAATGACACCTCTTAATATGAGCTTTCACCACTGATCCATAGCATACAGTATTCAGGTATATGAAAAAGTAAGTAGCACTTGGGCAGAGGGGGGACTTGGCCTGCTGTGACAAAGTTTGCTGCATCAGCTTTTGGAGCACAGCTTCTACTTGGTTTATCATTTTGACCTAGAGCTATTCCAGGTGCTCTTGTGCTACATGAAGTGAATGCTGCCCTGCTTCTTTCCTGCCTCTAACGTTCCTCATCTGCTGCATTCTCAGCATGTCTCATGCAGGGAAGCAGAAGGAGTTTGCAGTTTATACCTGTCTCTTCTTTCATCTGCTTCACAGCATATTCTGCTACTTCAAGGCACCACAAACCAAGTCCTTAGTAGCATGTAGGTGCCTGACTCCATTGCATAACATTCCTCTGTTTCTCTCCTCCCTCTGTGCACCCAGTCCTGTCTGGCACAAATCCATTTTGTGATGCTTGTAAACCAGAGCAATGCTCTTACTAAGATTTGAAAGCCTACTTGCTTAAAATTGAAACATCCTAAAATTGCCTGTATTGTCACTTTGTGATCCAGAGTGAATATATTTTGTCTCTTTTCAAGGAAGATTAATTAAAAGCAAGTATTTAGGCAACTCTTGAGCTGGCTGTTGAGAGAGTTGCCAAAATTCGAATAGGATCACTCAGTGGTGCTGCAGTTCGCCAAGATGATGTAGAAAGCTGCAAGGAAAAGCTTGGTGTAGCTCTTCAGCCATGATTCCTTCAGAGAGTCAGGTCCAGAAGCTTCTCTTTGTGTTCTTGTTTCTAGTGCCTGGTTTTGTGATTTCAGGCTGTGTTACTCAGATTTCTCCTTCGATAAACCTGATTGGAAGAATTTCCATCCAGATACCTTCTATATAAGAACAACTTAGATTTCTTAGTGAAGCATTTGTAGATGCACATTTTTATTTGATGTTTATCTGTTTTGGAGACACCCAAGCTCTATAGTTACGATGTCATTATGTTTTCTACTGAAAACAGAGTTCCTATACTGATTTTCTGTGTTTTATTAAGTTCTGCCTCCAAATTACACATACAAAATTTTCCACAGAAAAATGTAACTTTTGTGGTAAAAGTGATAGGATTTTTTTTCTGGACAAAAAAAAAAAAAAAAATCATTTCCCTAAAGTATGCAATCCATCAGGAGAAGCTGAACTGCCATGTTAGATGTTAAAAGAGCTCTTTATTACCTTTGAGAGCCAAAATCCTTTGATAAATCTTTTTATTTGTAGCGTATGGAAGCATACTGAAAGAGGAAATGGGTCTGCTCTTATCCTAAAATAAATTCCTTTGTAAACCTGTCATTACCTTAAAATTGCATCCTTTGAGATCCTAAACAGTTCTGTAATGTGCATAGAAATATCAGGATGTTCGTCACTTATGAGATTGCTAGCTGAAATTCAACTGACATGTTTGCATTGCTTTAACTTTTTAGGCTTGAATTCATTTTTCAGTGCCCAGTTTGGGAGAACTGTTATCTTGTCTAATTACATCTGAGACAGACTTGAATCTTTTACATTTATACTAAAAATAGTATTTTTTTCCTTCAGGATATTTCATGAATAAAAGCAACAAAAACCCCTCCACCCTTGTTAGTAACAGGTATGAAGATGATTATGGAGAGTTAAGAGCAAATTTGCTGTACCTCTTGCAAGTATTTGAATTGGTATTTTAAATTTTCAGCTACTATAACTTTGCATGGTTCCAAGTAAATTCAATGGAGAAATGCTGAAAGATACCAGATTTTCAGCTGTTAGCTATTAGGCTTTTAGCACAGGGGAAAAGGTAAACAGAGTGACACTGAGGAGATGCAGTTCATTATAGACCTTGGGGTCTGAAGAGAAGGTTGAATGTCACTTTAACTTTTTCTGTCCCCTTTAAGTCTTCCATCTTGGATTGGTCTGTATCCTAATCATAACTGTCCTTCTGTATTCAAAAGAAAAAAGGGTGTTTCAAAATGCAAGTGGACTTGTTTGCCTTTAGATTAAGGAGAGGTTCTTTCATGAGATGAATTTTTGGGGTTGAAAATTCAGTTTCTTGTTCTGCTTCTGACAAGTTGGAAGCATTGTGCTTTACTTATGTAACCTGTGTTTAAAAACAAATAAATTAAACCTGCCACAGAACAGCAGAGTGGGTTGGAGATCCCCATCTGGGTAATACCAGTAAAAAATTTACTCTAGATCCTGCTTTTCAGGTTATTTGGGTTGAAAAGGTGTTCTAAATTAAAATATCTTCTATTTTGCTCTCTGAGCCACTGTCTTCCTTATCTCTGACAGGCTCTAGCATCAGACAAGAGCTCTTCTTTTTGTTCTTGTCTTTTACCTCATCCTAAGCTCTTACTGCTTCTTCCAGCTTCATTTCTGACCTTTCACAGATTTCCACTTGCAGACCTAAGGAGGGAGGCCAGCCCATTCCAATCAAAAGACTATTGACTCTAATCATATAGAAAAGGTGCTTATGAAAGACTTTATTTAAACTAACCTGTTTTATTGAAGACTTTTCAGTTTACCTTAACTACGTTGTCTGTTTTTTTGCTACTTCCTAACATTTACACTCATGAGTAACACACAAAGATGTCTCCTTTTTTTTTTTTTTTTTTAATTTAATGGCTGGCCCTGGAAATATTTATTGCTATTTTAGGAAAAATATTATCCAAAGTACTTCAATGTAATAGCTGTTAGTGGTAAAACTTGAAAATCAGAAGTGAAATGCAGTTTTGAAGATGGAATATTCTTGTTTTTTCAGGATGCTTGCCAATCTTACCCTTTTGAGATTCTTACATTAGGTGTCTCGATAAATTGATTTTGTGAATGGCTGAATTTAATTTGAATGACCTTATGTAAGCATCCATATTATATTAACCCCTAATCAGGCATGTTTTTCTGTTAGCCAAAAGTGCAGTCATACTTGCGAAAAAAAAAATCCTGCTGTGGGGGAGGTGTGTATGTGTGTATGTACACACACACATATATCACAGAATGGTTTGAGTTGGAAGGGACCTTAAAGATCATCTAGTTCCAACCCCCCTGCCACAGGCAGGGACACCTTCCACTAGACCAGGCTGCTCAAAGCCCCATCCAACCTGGCCCTTGAACACTGCCAGGGATGGGGCATCCACAGCTTCTCTGGGCAACCTGTTCCAGTGCCTCACCACCCTCACAGTGAAGAACTTCTTCCTTGCATCTAATCTAAATCTACCCTCTTTCAGTTTGAAGTCATTACCCTGTGTCCTGTCTCTATATGCCCTTGAAAAAGTCCCTTGAAAGTTCAGCTTTCTTGCAGGCCCCCTTTGGGTACTGGAAAGCCGCTCTAAGGTCTCCCCAGAGCCTTCTCCAGGCTGAACAACCCCAATTCTCTCAGCCTGTCTTTACAGGAGAGATGCTCCAGCCCTCATCATCTTCATAGCCCTCGTCT